CGGCATCGTGCGACTTCCGCTGTCGTAACAGTATGTGTAGTTTCACATATACATTGTTGTCATTAGCTCGTGTATTTACCAGGGCTCATCTAAAAAAGTGGTAATCAAAGTTATGATATTCAGCTTCAATTTTTAAGAGATGTTCAGTGAATCTGATCCTTTTATAAGATGTTCTATACAGTAGTATTTTCCCATAGGAATCTACTATTTTTTTTTATAATAATATATATATATTTTCTACCTTGTTAATTTTTTTTTTCTGAGAAATAGGTATTATGTTGTGATGTATGTTGTTTGATAATTGTGGAATATAATTTATCTTTTCATAGATTGGAAGAGGGAGAGGATGTAGAAGAAAACCAAAGAAACTTGATCTCACTTACTCAGAGGGTATTCAATGCTATTATCTCCTCGGCAGATAGGTATGGATGTGGTGGATGTTCAACTGCAAATTAAAAACAAACTTGAGTAGAATTACTGATATGTTGCATTTAATTTTAAAGGTCTATAAACAATGTACACAAGAATATATTAACCTTATTCCTGGGAATAAAAAATGTTATTGGTTTTAAAAAGGGACTGTCAATTATTGTTCTTCTGAATTGATTTTTTGGTGTATTTGTTAATAATATACATGTCATGTTAAGCCAATAAAATTTTGGTTTGAATTTTTCTTATTTTAGTTTCCCCCCTCAACTGAGAAGCATGTGTCACTGTCTTTACCAGGTTTTGAACAAAAGGTTTCCCAATGTTCCTCCAAACATCAGTGCTGTTGGAACAGTAATCTTTCTGAGATTTATCAACCCAGTTATAGGTTTGTAGTTTTCTATAGAACAGATTATTTAGTAACTTTAGCATTCCATAAAAAAATTAAGATGCTGTTTTTATCTTACAGTCCAGTGAATAATAAATTCAGCTTTGGTATGATAAAGCCTGAAAATATCAATAATTAGTTTAAAACTCTGTAATGGGGAAAATAATTACATTGCAATCAATTTGGTCAAATGATTTTTATGTGACTTATATTCTTAAAAGGAAATGGATTTCTGAAATATTATTCTCGAGATATTTTTGCAAATTCTACAAAACATAGCACAGGTAGAACTGATCATGATCTTATTGTTGGACACATTATTTTTAAGTACTTATGTTATTTTTTGTAAATGCAAATAAACACAGCCATAATAGAACCAACCAATATCTTTCAAATACCTAGCACATAAAGGATTTTTCTTCTTGTTTTGGATGTTGTGGAACTGACTAAGATCTTAATGTTAGACAAGTGCTTGTTAAAGATTCATGTTGTCATTGTGGATGTTAACAAACATAGCAATATTAGAACTGACCTAAATCGTGTTGGTAGACACATGGTTTTAAGTATTTATATTATTGTTGCAAATGCTAACAAACACAACAGTGGTGAAATTGATCAAAATGTTTTTGTTGGGCACATGGCCCCTAAGAATTCATGTCATTGTTGTGGATGCTAGCAAACACAGCAATGATAGAAGTGACTAAGATCTTATTGTCAGACACGTGGCCCTTAAGAATTTATTCTATTATTGTGAATGCACCAACAACAGAAGTGACTTAAGTTATTACTGGACAAATCTGGTGCTTTCTGTCTTTTTATTCTGGTTATCTTTGTGACAACTTGTATAAATAAAATGATATTATAAATATTAAAGATAGTTTACAGAAGATTCTAATTTGATATTTTTAAAAACAAAAAGGCCAAAGGCTGATACTGTGTAAACTACATGGCAAAATCATGAGAGGACATAGGAAATTTGATACTACTTCATTGCTATCATAATTAATTTTACAAAGATACAAGATGGAAATTAGATCAACAAAGATACAAAATGGAAGTTAGATCAACAAAAGTCAAAATTTAATAAGATATAATATCATATATATTTCTTATTTGGACACATAGGTAAAAAAAAATGCTGTTTTAAATGTGGGGTTTTTAATGGACACAGATGTTGAAATTGTTCTTCCTTTCAGCCACATAACACACTTGAAATGTATTATTTGTTTTATTTTTATTGACACTCATGGACAGCAAAATACTCATGAGTTTAATTTTTGGTCTCATGGTGTTTTAGCTAATATGAATATCACAAAGGACCTAAAGAATAAACAAATCCTGCATCTTCAGATAATAGACTTTTCTACCAGTTTGTTTTATGAAAGTGGCTTATAATCTTTTTGAAATTAATAAAAATTCAATTTTGTGTGTACTTACGTTTTGAAAATGTTTGTACAGTTTTGGCTTTATTAGACTGCATCTGCCTGTTTCTAGAATGGAATGACATTTTGTTTTTGTACTGAGACCTTATCATAAAAGCCAGAATGTTGTCCCACTCTAGAAACAGACAGAAGCAGTCTTTTGTATTGAAGTCTCATCATAGAAGCCAGAATGTTGTCCCACTCTAGAAATAGGCAGAATCAGTCTTTTATATTGAAGTCTCATCATAGAAGCCAGAATGTTGTCCCACTCTAGAAACAGACAGAAGCAGTCTTTTATATTGAAGTCTCATCATAGAAGCCAGAATGATGTCCCACTCTAGAAACAGACAGAAGCAGTCTTTTATATTGAGACCTCATCATAATAGCTGAAATGTTGTCCCATTCTAGAAACAGGCTGAAGCAGTTTTTTAGATTGACGCCAGAATGTTGTCCCACTCTAGAAACAAGCAGAGCAGTCTTTTATACTGAGGCCTCATTGTAGTATCTGAAATGTTGTCCCATTCTGGAAACAGGCTGAAGCAGTCTTTTATATTGAGGCATAATCATAGGAGCTGAAATGCTGTCCCACTCTAGAAACAGGCCATTAAAGTCAAAACTCTACAATGCTTAAAATACCTTTGTTATCCTAAATTTATTGTAATTTTTACATCACATTAAACTGTACTTTATTAGTAATCCTGTATTTTATCATCTTACAACAGTCGTGTTAATATATTTGATGAATACAAAGCACTATTGTATATTCCAGAAAGTTCTTATTTTCTTCAGTTGTCAGACCACTGTTTATCATAAGCTTCTTGTTTTCATTGTGTAATGAAACATAAACAGAAGTATTCTATTCAGTTTGAAGTTTGTAATGTATTGTTCGTGTTGTTCTTTACAAAATACTGACGTTTTTCTTAGTGTAATAATATATAAATAGAAGTGTTGTATTCAGTGTAAAGTTTGTATTGTTTTTTACAAAATACTGACTGATATATTTGTGTACTAAATCATAAACGGAGGTGTTATATTCAGGGAAGTTTATATTGTATTTTTTGTGCCATTACTTATAAAATACCAGCTGTGTTTTACCTCTGTAGTTTCTCCATATGAAATGGGGATTGTTGAAAAACAGCCATCACCCAAGACAAAGCGAGGACTGATGCTTATGTCTAAAATCCTACAAAATACAGCCAATCACGTAGAGTTCAGTAAAGAACAGCATATGCTGCCCTTTAATGATTTTCTGCGAAGTAATTTTGATATTGGTCGCAGGTGAGATTTGTTAATTAGTGTAAATCATATATTGTGTGTGTACACATGCACTTCATTATAATAGAAACATAGCCTGACTGAGAAACATTAAAGTAGTTAACTATATCACAACTACATCTGAAATTTTCAATTTTAAGTGAAAAATACAATTCTAATATTTATTCAGTGTATTTATTTCACAAATACTACAAATTTTATTTCTGTACATTTCCAATGATTTTTCCCCAAAACAATGCATGTTTTTTTTTGTCCTTTTTTTTTCAAATTTTTCCACTCATCTCAAAGCTCAGGTTTATGTTTTCTAACTAAGTATTATCCTTTCAAAATATAATGATCCATACCTTACTTTTCATGTCATTTTCTTTCTCTGTTAGTGATTTTATTAATATGAGTACCTCCTTTTTGATGTGACAGTAGGTAGTCTAATATTTCTCCATGAAGCTGATCTTTGAAGATGGCTAAAGCTTAAGGCTAAAAACAGTTGGGTATAACAGATTCCAATTTATCTACATCACGAGAGAGTAAAAAAGGTGGTTTTAACTGTAATAATGGATTTGTTGATATTAGAGATGCACGGGTACCCAGCCAGGTATTAGGCTACCCGGTAATACTCAGCTCTGGCCGAGTGTCGAAGTTAGGCATCTAAGCTCTAATCTTTGTGGAAACTAACGTGGTACTGAAATTTACAGTCAATAATTGGTTTAGTTATAAAAAAAATGCATTCCAAGCAACAAAAACTGACTGCCTACTGTAAGTCAGGGATTCAGTGAACAATAGGGGTTAATAACAGGCATTGCTTGAGAAGTGGATTTCTGGGGAAGGTGTGGGTTTTGATAACAATAGGGGTTAGGGTTTGAGAAGTTGGGGCTAGGCATTGAAAGTTGAATGTAAAACTTGAATGTTCTGTTGGTGATTATTCGGTTAAAACATCAGTTTTGTGTTTGTTTCTAATTTTTGTGTATGTTGTTTTATTGGGGGGGCAAGGGGAGAAAGCTTAGTGACTGGGTACCCGAACCCATTAATTGGCCAAATTTTACTACCTGTGTTTCCCTAGTTCTTATGTTAACCAGCCAGAATTCCAGTAGCATGAAAAAAGGTTTTGAACAAACCACAGATCAAAAACATTTTAATAATTTCTTTTAATGTTATTTTTGTTTCTAATAATGTTTTGTGTTAAATTATATCTGTTTGAAATTTCTTCAAAACTCCAAGTAAAGTTTAGTTAGGTGTAGTGAGTATGGTAAGTAATGTCAAACTATTCTGATAACTGAAATTATTTTTTGTTGAATTGTTATTTGTTGAATACAAACCCTAATTATTAGATATAAACTTTTCTCAACCAAAAATATTCTTGGCACAAATTGTGCTACAATGCCTCACAAAGGTAATGGTTGACACCCTTGTCAAACATGAGGTTATGGGTAATTGATTAAAAGTTTTTTTCAATTTTGTCAACCTGTTGGTTAGGGTACTCAACTCATAGTCTGTGAGTTGTATGTGTCTTTTAAGTCATGGGGGCATAATAATGTGACAGTCAATCCAACTATTCATTGGTAAAGAGTAACCCAAGAGTTGGCAGTGGATGATGTTGACTGACTGCATTCTGTATAATCTATCACTTCAAGGTGTCAGTTGCATCAGCAAAAGACAAAATAAAGTATCAAAAAACGAGTGTAATATTAATATTAATGAATATTAAACAAGTTAAAATTGAGTAGACATAAAATGGAACTTTTTGGTCAACAATACAAAAGAATTATAATTATAAAGATGAACAAAAGTATTTTTGGGAAGTTGCACTACCTAGAAACTTATAAAAGTACTAAACAAATTATATGAATTGTTCACAAACACAAACTACTATCATTTAGAAAATTCATAATAAGTTTCATGCAATTGTTAAGCATTTCCACTGTAAAAATGTAATAGCCAAGGAATATCAATGATACCTTGTTGGTCCAGAAAATGAAAAGCCGAGGAAAATATTCAGTTTGTTCATTTGACACATTATGAGAAATGTTATGATGCTTCTACCCAGTTCCATGTTTTATTTTGGGTAACTGACATTACATAGGTATTTTAAGGTGTTGTAGAGTAAGGATGGGTGCCAAAGTTCTTAGATTGTTCAATCATGTTAGGTTTGTGCTCGTGGCTTTAAAATATAGCATTTGCTGTTGATGAAACAGTTATTTGTACTAATTCAAGGTGTTTATGGTTTTCATCAAGCTTGTGGGATTAATCCAGTTCAGAAGTTATGGTTTCATTTTTTTCTGCCCTGTTGTACATTTTTGAAGTGGTCGTATCAATATATATTTTCAGTAATTAGCTTCTTAGATTTAAGTTTACTGGCTTATTGTTTTTTTCTAGTAGCTTTTATTAACCTTGGCATATTGTTTTGATCTGTTCATCATTCAGCTTGTAATTACTATTAGTGGTGCATTGTTTCAATCTGTTGATCTACTACCTCATTAGTTTATTGTTTTTACCTAGCAGCTTGGACTAGATCTCAGTGTTGAATTGTTTTGATCTAGCAGCTTTTATTAATTTCAGTGTTGTATTGTTTTGATTTAGCAGCTTGGATTAATCTCAGTGGTGTATTATTTTGAGTTAGCAGCTTAGATTAATTTCCGTGATATATTGTTCTTATCTAGCATCTTAGATTAATATCAGTGCTTCAGTGTTTTGCTCTAGCATCTTAGATTAATATCAGTGCTTTAGTGTTTTGATATAGCAGCTTGGATTAATCTCAGTTCTTTACTGTGTGAAACTGTGATACAAAACTATGAGAACATTTTGTTTGAAGACTATATGAATCTTGTTTTATAGGACAAAAATCCATAAATCACTTGATTTAAATACTGTTTGTTTCTTTTTTAGATGGGTAATTGAGATTACCTCAGACTGTGAATCCTTGGACCAGACTAGTCACAGCATGTCTTTCATCAGTGATGCCAATGTGCATGCTCTTCATCGTCTCTTGTGGAATCACCAGGAAAAGATAGGAGATTACCTGTCGAGCTCAAGAGATCACAAAGCTGTTGGACGTAGACCATTTGATAAGATGGTAACTTTGCTGGCATACTTGGGACCTCCTGAACATAAGCCTGTGGATTCTCAGTAGGTTCTACTGTGAAGTTTCGTTTGTTTAAGTTAGCTATTAATTTTTTTATATTCTGGTCTGTGTTTTGTATAATATTGCTACTTTCTCACCTGTTGAACATTTCCTTTTATTTTCTGCTTTTCAAATTTACACATCTTTATGAATTTAGATGATGTTGTTTTATGATTTGTAAAACCATGTTTAATATATTATCTGTAATTGAAAATATATATATGATAAGTTTACAGTACCATTTAGTTTTCACATAATTCAAATATATATTCATCAGTAGAAATTAACCTACAAATATCCACAGATTAATGTGAACAGTGATGGTGACTCCATTTCATGTATATTTAATTATAAGCATTTTATTGTATGTGATGGGCCATTTGTTTGTTGTTTTTTTTGCCTGTCAGTGTCAAAAATTATTGTTCATTCACTAAAATGTCAGTGTTTTCCAAAGAAGTTTGAAGTTCTTAAAAATCTTCATAGCTTTTTAAAATCTAAGCCAAAATGTATGGTATATTTCTTTTAAATACATTTCAGTAGAATTTTAATGAATTGTATGGGAAATTCCACTGATCATGAGAAATGTTTTGTGGTTTTTTTCTGCAAAATTATTTATATATACGTAAGAAACTGAGCTTTGGGAAAATATGGAATATCATCGAAGTAAGCTTTGCATTTTGTGACATTTTATCAATAACAAAAAAAACTTGTGTATTTGGTATTACTCGATGTTTAAAATAAATGAGGTGGTGAAAATTGTCATTGCCATGAAGAGACTTATCAAAAATATCTGTTATCATTTTAGACAGTTGTGACTTTTTTGAATTCCTCATATTCATTTGTATAAGAACAAGTTGTATAACATCAAATAGAACAAATTTTGCCATGTGTGAAATTTCCTGTAGTAGTTTTCTCGTGACTGCACGTGCCTTAGTTGTTAGCATGTTGGGCTACAGATGGAACACATTATGCACTTTTGGCTGTGGGGTCATAATAAAAGTAGTAGTCAACCTCGTTATTCAGTTCAAAAAGCTGGACAAGACCTTTGTGGTAGCAGGTGTTGCTGGCTGGGTACTCTCCCTGTAGTTAGTAGTTTAAAATTAGGGCCAACTATACCTGACTCTTTGCACATAAAGTGCTGTTCAGGTTGAAATTCTAATTTTTCTTCCTTATTCTTAAGGTGGAGCAGCATGGATATGACCAGTACAAGGTTTGAGGAAATCATGTCAAAGCACAACATGCATGAGAAGGATGAGTTCAAATCCATAAAAAGTTTGAACATATTCTACCAAGCAGGCACGTCAAAGGCTGGGAACCCAGTCTTTTATTACATTGCCAGGAGATACAAGTGAGTAAGCCATTTTTAAGAATAATGTGTATTAAAAATATTCTATGTGGTTTTTAATTTTGTTGAATATAAATAATATTTTCAGCCTTTTATTTTGAAGGAATGAGGACTAAAGATTGTCCTTTCATTATAAGCTGTATTATGTTGTTTTGTTTTAAAAAGCACTCAAAAGTGAACTAATAATATATATATATACTACATTTAGGAAAACAAGAGCCCCTTAGGTAATTGTTTAACTAATATCAATGGTGGTTTTCCTAGAATATGTTTCAGAATTATTTTGTCCACTGTTTGATTATTGTATAATCTAGTATCTTTACTTGTAAATTTCTTTGCTTCCAGAATTGGAGAAACAAATGGTGACTTACTCATTTATCATGTGATCCTGACACTTAAACCATTTTGTCACAAACCATTTGAGTTAGTTATAGACTTCACTCACACTTGTGCTGATAATCGTTTCCGGGTAAGAACTATGCTTATACTTGAGCTAATAATTATTTCTGATGTGAGAACCTTTACTTAACTTGTGTAAATAATTGTTTCTGAGTAAGAACTTGTGCTTGTAATTATTTTTGATTAACAATTTATTCTTATGCAAATAATGTTTTTGAATAAGAACTTGTAATTAACTGATAATTGCATCATATAATAACTTAGTTTTGCACAGATAATTGTTTCAGGGAAAGAACTTTACTTGCTTGAATTAGGTTTGTTATTAAGCTCTGATATTATTCAAATTGTTGCCGTAGAATATATTAGGTCATCAAGAAATTAGTGATGTGTTTTGGAACACTTTCATTAACCACCCCAAAAAAAATATACATCACGTATAATAGTTAAACGAACTGCCTAAACTTCACAGTAGTGTAGCCTATATAATGTGTAAAGTTTAGTATACTCTAATCCCTTATAGTGATGGCACATGACTAGACACACAATTGGCATGTAATGCTGTTCAATATAAAAGAAGGGAAACAGTGCCACAGAGAATATCAAAGATGTTTATGGAAATGTTTTTAAGAGTCAACAATGGTTCAGCAAATTTTGTTCAGGTGACTTTAGCCTTAAAAAACTGTGATGGCAGGGGCCAAGATGTTGGAATTGAACTGATGCTCTGAAGACACTTGTTGAGTCTAACCCAAAACAACACACTTGTGAAATGGCCCTGAAATTGTATGTCTCTCATGAAACAATAAGTAAACATCTAAAGAATATGGGAAACCTCCATAAAGAAGGTGTTTGGGTGCCTCACGAACTCTCCAATGATCATCGTTTCCAACATGTGAACGTTGCCTCATCTCTTCTAGCATGTAATGTGCATGAACTATTTTTGGACAGAATTGTCACCAGTGATGAAAAATGGATTCTCTGTGCG